CAACACCAATCCCCGAGTCATTAGACCAGCAGGTTTCCAGGAAAGGAAGAAGCAATGGTCCCCAATGGGCAATTGATCATTGACATGTTGGAGTAAAAAAATGCGAGTCTCCCACACATGGTCAATCTGAAGCACTGCTGTAGATCCCAACCACATCTCAATGTTGGGTTCACAAACATTTGGCAACAATAAAAGGTTTATGAACACCACATAGACGTTTACATGAATCTGTCAGCAGCAACGTTCAGTGATTACAATGTAGGAAATGCTTCAGCTGTACTTCATAAACAGAAAAACGATCCTTGCAAGTGCTGATGTATTTTCAGTAAATGTTTGATTTTTATACCTGTTTTATATATTATGTATCTGAGGTTACATGAAAGAAAGGGGCCGGAAGTGAAAGAAGTTTAAGAAGCCCTGCTCTAGACTATTGGTTAAATAACTGACCAGAGGTGTGTATGGCTTGATCCTATGTAGAGTACAAGACCTGTGCATGATATCAGTGCTAGGGTTATCAAATAGAACATCCGGTATATCAAAGAATTACAAGTCTGTTCAGTTTGATAACAATGTGGGCATTCTTTCATTAGTCAAAATAACATTTATGACATGGTTTTGATTTTACATTATAGATGAAGAATTACCAATGCTGTTTCATCCAGATATACTGCATACACTCAAGTATAAACCTAGTTTTTCAGCTCTTTTTTTAGGCTGAAAAGTCCCCCTCAGCTTATTCTTAAGTCAAGGTTATTTATTATTTTACTCAGTTATCATCATCATCATCATCATCATCATCATCATTACATTTATTATTTTACTTTATTATTGTTATTATTACATTTATTATTTTTCTATTTATTATTGTTAATTATTGCATTTCCATTATTTTACTCTATTATTATTATTATTATTATTATTACATTTATTATTTTATTCTCTTTATGATTATTGGAAGGATACGTAAGCCCATTTACATTGAAGAAGGTTAGAATAATGGTTTAATCAGAGATGGGCAGTCTTATCTTAAAGTAACAGTTTGATGTAAATATTCAAAAAACATTTAACCTACTCATGCCTCAATTAATGTAACTGTATTGGTATGTATTTTTATTTTGAAACTCACCAGTAGCTGCTGTATTTCCCACCCTCAGCTTATACTCAAGTCAATCCGTTTTCCCAGTTTTTTTGTGGTAAAATTAGGTGCCATGGCTTATATTTGGGTCATCTTATACACGAGTACATACGGTATTTGATTTCAAAAGAAACTGCTCATAAGTGCACATTTGAGCAATAAACAATTCCTTAATGTTAGATATATAGGAATCTTGCAGCCATGGGATCATCTATATGACAATAACAACAGTAAGTATGGTAGCTTTTGGGGAGGGGAGACCAAAATCCACGTTAGAGATCATTATGAAAGGGGTCCGAAATAAGATTTCCAAAAAATCTAAAAAAACCCCAAAGCAATAAATGTGCATTTCTCATCACCACATTTCAAGATGATAGTACTGGAACAGACACAGAAAAAGGCAACCAGAATGATGAAGGAAGTGGAACAATTCTCCTTTGAGTTAATGGCTCAACATCTTTGCTCCAGTCTTCTGTCAAAAGGAAATCAGTGTCCAACCTAAGTAATATAGAACAGAAAATAGGGGAAATGCAACCCAAAATAGGTAAAGAAGTAGTCTAGGAATACCTGGCTACTCTCAATGAATTCATGTCTCCAGGGCCAGGTGAACTACATCAAAGAGTATTGAAGGAACTTGCAGAAGTTGTTTCAGAACAACTGGCAATACTTTTTGAGAATTCTTGGAGAATAGGAAAAGTTCCAGCCGACTGGAGGGGGCAAAACTTTTCCCTATCTTCAAGAAGGGAAAAAAAGAAAACCCCAACAATTATTGTCCAGTCAGCTTGACATCAATTCCAGGAAAAATTCTGGAAAAGATAATTAAGGAGACAGTCTGTAATCACTTAGAAAAGAATGTTGTGATTACTAATAGTGAACATGGATTTCTCAAAATCAAGTCATTCCAGACTCATCTTACCTCTTTTTACTATAGAGTCAGAAGTTTGGTAGATGCAGCGAATGCTGTGGATGACCGTGAGAGGTATTTAACAGTGAAACTCTCTGCCTCATTGTGTGGTGGAAGCTCATTCTTTGGAGACTTTTAAACAAGTGCTGGGTGGCCATCTGTTGAGAGTGCTTTGGTTGTGCTTCTTCTGCATGGCAGGGGGTTGGACTGAAATTATGGTCTCTTCCAGCTCTATTCTGTGATTCTGAGGTTACAACATTTGTAGTTATTTAGTTTAGGAGAGCTAAGGCAGAGGTTATAAGATTAGATTTGGTGTGCAAAAATGAGTTGCACAAAATTGTTTCTTTCTCTTTCATAATACTGGAATTTGGGTTCATTTATTGATGCTCAGTAGAGAGAAAAAGGAAGTGCAATCAGTTCTGGCTAGTACTTGGATGAGGATACTATCATTGAATATTGGTCTGTAGGCAAAACGACTTCTTTGTCTTCCTTTCCCAAGAAAGCCCTGTGAAATTAATTGGGTCATCATAAAGTGACTGGTGACTGACTGGAAGGTATACATATATACCTTCATGAAATTGTACATACATTTTGAAAATGCAGCTAAAAACGAATGCAGTTGAAAAATACTTTGGAAACATTTGAACCATGGGGAAAATGTGTAAAAATATGTGCGCAGGATAGGTATGTCAATAAATAAATAAATGTCAATAAATACTTTTGGAAAACATGTTCAAAACTACAAGTAAAAAGGTATGACTTGATGAGCAAAGGATAAGGCAGGAATACTGATTGGAGAAGTATACTGTATAGATTTTACAGCTTTGATTTTTTTTCTCTTTGTTTACATAATTTCATTTTATTCTCTTGGGTCTGCTACAATTATATTCTATACAACTAACTTGTTTCAGTGATCAAGAATAATATCTTACAGATATGGTTTGTTATGCTTGAGTTGAGGTTATGCTGGGGCAGTTCTTAGATGTCTGCCTGTGGGTGCACACAGGAAGGACGCTGGCTGTGCTCAAGTTGCAAAAGGAGAACTATCGTTCTGAGAGTACCATTTATGTATCTGAATTGAATACAATTCAGCATCTGATCTGCTCCTACTGCTTCAGTTTGGTGTAAAGGAACATTGTTTTTAAGAAGGAGCATTGTTTTTAAGAAGGAGATATTTGTTAATTAGGATTGTTGTAGTATGCCTTAGTTTCAGACTTAGAGCAACCCTAAGTCTAAAATTTAGGGCAGGGGTCTGGTAAATGACATCGGAGGGCCATATCCAGCCTGCGGGCCTTTGTTTGGGGACCTCTGACCTAGAGGATTTGATTGTGACAGTGAGAGGGCCCAAGAAATGGAAGCCAAGTCAAAGCAAAGTAGTGCAGGACACAATTTCTGCACATCTGTGCAGAAATAGACCCCAATTTGACCTGCAACTACACTCCTGAGTTGCAGGTCAAACTGCAGTTCTCTACACATTCCTAGACTATCAACAGTCTCCTGTCTCTTATTGATGGGTGATAGCTGTGGAAGTTATTTGCAAGCCTCACTGGCCAACTCCAGCCCTATCCCTGCTTTGTATGTAGGAGATCCTGCATTTCTAGATAGATGTGGGAGACACATGGTACATTCTAAAACACTGAGTGAGCATCTGTGTCCCACCAGTGTGGACAACACAGAGTTAGACAGTCCGGTGGTCTAACTTCCTATGCAATACAAACTGTATTATCTTTGATGCCAACCTTTAAGTTTTCCAAAGTCAGACCTCACTACCTCTGAGAATGCTTGCCATAGATGCAGGCAAAATGTCAGGAGAGAATGCCTCTAGAATATAGCCATATAGCCCGAAAAAACTTACAACAACCCAGTGATTCCAGCCATGAAAGCCTTCGACAATACATTTTCCAAATACTCTTGCCTGGTAGCGTTCGAATTCCCACCTTTTGTGATTCATTGTATGTGAAAAGAGGGAACTGAATGTGATTGAGAGAAGTCATGGGGCTGCAGCTCTGTCCTCATCTCTTTGATTGTGCAACTTCCTTGGACTCCAGTTTACGTGTCCACCTTAACTATCTTACCCTGGGAAGCCTATGCTTGTAATCCTCTAGAAACAGAATCTTTTGCCATTGGGAAGCCCTATGGAAGGAAGGCAATGAACACTTTTCAGTTTCCTCTGCTCTCAGGCTTAATATTAGCAGCCAGTCTGATGTCCATTTCAGTGCCTGGACCAATATGATACTGGGACGAGTCTGAGGATATGATTGATCCAGTGAGGCTGTGTCTTTCCCTCCCTGGAGAGACCCACTTACCACACTTTCTGTGATAAAATTCTTCCTATAACATCTGACTGAAAAAGTGAAGACTGTACACATTATTGGAAAATGCTACAGCAGCAACACATTTCAGTAATAATTTTTAGAATGAAAATTTCTGTTATAGAAAATACCTTATTTTTGCAGTTAAATGTGTACATTTCATTTGGTGAAATGGGTAATGAAACTCATTAAATATAGACTTGAGAAGAATAATGGTCTTCATCACCTTCCTGCATTCACATTTAATTTTGTATACCCATTTGAAGAAAGCAAGACACATACGTGAAGCTGTGTGTTAGGAATTTATAGTAACCGAACAAACGAGGCATATTTCCTAAACAACTATAAAACCCAAAGCTAAAAGATGTTTCCACTGAAGCTGTTCAGTCTGATGTGCCTATACCCGTTTGCTCACATGTGAAAAATATGACAGACAAAACCAGATTTTACAGTTGTATGTCACTGTTTGAATGCGATTTTCCTGCACCTTGGCCAGGGGTTGGACTGGATGGCCCACGAGGTCTCTTCCATTATTCTACTGTTGGCTGTCTATCGTGGTGCTAATGCTAAATGACAGCAATGTTCCCATTTTGGTTATTTATACCATCTTAACTTTATCTTCCTTGTTTTCTTTCCCCTTTTTGCACAGGGAGTGAAATATTTGTGCATACCTGCTGCAGATTCACCCTCGCAAAATTTGTAAGTATAGAAAAAACCAACTACATGAAAGTCCAGATTGTTTAATGTCGCTAGATGAGCTGTGTAAATATGTCAGACTTCTCAACTATTCCAGTTTGTTTGTTTTTTACAAATGGAAAATGCCTCTGTCGAGAGGACATCTTATTTGTTTAATGGTAGACTCAGACCATGGAAGCTCTCTATCTCTGTCCCAAAGTTTCCTGCCTAATCCTTGCAAGTGGTGCGTTGACAATTACCTACTCACAGAATTGTTGTGAGGGTAACTTGGAACTTCAACTCCCACCTATGTGTTGCTCAATCTCCTTGGCGGTGTGACAGGCCAGACACATGATAAATTTGGTAATAAATGACAAGCATAATAGACTGAAATGCATGGCAGTCATTAGCCCTTCTGAAAAGCTAGCTCCACCTGGCATTACCTCCTCCCAACTTTTGTCCAGCAGCTACTCCACCAAACTAAGAAACCTCATAGCATTAAAAACATACGTTCTTCTACATCTCCATTCCCTTTTCCTCCCTTTTTGTGTTTTAGCTTATAAACCAGATGGGAAGGGCTTTCTTTTTTTAACTGTTGTGTAATTTCCATCTGGATGAAACTGGAAGTGAGATAGATAGATAGATAGATAGATAGATAGATAGATAGATAGATAGATAGATAGATAGTAGGCTTGGGTAACCACAGAAAAATTTGGTTCTAAACTCGTTTTGTTTTTAGGGGGCCCTTGCGTTTCGTTTTTTTAATAATTCTGAAATGTTCCTTTAAAAAATTTCGAAATTTATGAAATTTCGTAAAATTACGAATCGATTCATTAATGGCGGACAAGATTGCGCAATATGCTAAAAATCCTCCAAATGGGACAGGAGGAACTTCTGAAGCTTCCCTCTCCCTCTGTTGTTGACTGTTGGTGTGATAAAACAAACAACAACTATAAAACTTGCACCAGACATGCGAAAATAATTACGAAATAATTACGAAATAATTACGAAATAAATTGAAAAAATTGTTTCGAACCTTTATTACTCCTCACACAATTCCTGCATGGCTCAATATTGGATCGTAAGCTAATTTAAATACGAATTAATAACGAATTACGAAATTAACGAACAAAACCGCCCAAGCCTAATAGATAGATAGATAGATAGGCAGAATGACAGATAAATCCATCGATAGATTTGGCAACATATGTATACAAACTGATCTACCAACCCAAATGTTGCCATTTAGTTTGGCAAGATGCTCAATAAACCTGGTTATTTGCCAGCCTAAACCTGCAAAAATAGGGGAAAGGGTTTTCTCAAGCTACAGTGGTGTGAAGCCATGATCTATGGCTCATAAGCAACCTTGGCCTATTGGGTGGGCTTGTGTTGGAACCCCTTTTGCTTAATGATTCAGGACAAGGCTGTTGAGGCTGACTTTCTTCTGAAGGTGGCTTGTATAAGCTTCATGAGAAATCATGGATGGGAGCCAAGTTTTTCTTCTAGTCGTCTAAGCTTATGCTTATGAAGGGTGAGGAGGGAGGGAGGGAGGGAGGGGGGTTCAGCCACTTCCTGGCAATTTGTTTTATAGAGAAACAAAAGTGGTTTCAAAGGGCCTGCCTGGTACCTACGGAAGGAAATGTAGCACTGCCTTTTTCACATAGGAGTGCTGTCTCTTTGCTCCAATGCTTTCGAGAGATATTTTTAGTATATTTGCTTTTTTCTCATAGAACACCAAGTTCTCAGTGTAGCATCTTGCAAATTTATCAGTTGATGAATTCAGCCCATCCAATACGAATTATCTCCCTTTCCCCTGTTGTTGTGGCATGCATGTTGCCATCTGTGTTTGTGTAGTTTTGTAGAATTGGAGCAGTGCTGCAGTGGCCAGAAATGGGCAAACGTTTGTTTGCACACCTGTAAATAGATGGCAGCATCCAGTGGTGTAGTGGGAGCTATAGTTCAGCAACATCTGGACTGATGCACAAGTTCAGCTCATGGAAAACATCAGGAACCTTACAGTCTGAAAGCACTTGTGGGAATTTTCTCTGTGTTGGTGCAAAGCTTTATTTGAGACATTTCTTTTTGCAAAAGTAATCCACTGCAATTTTGTCTCTGCAGTGTTCTGTAGAAACATCAACCTGTGGTGACCCAATAAATGGGTCATTTCCCAAGAAATCCTGTTATCAGCAGTCCTGCAAAGTGTTGCATTTTCCAGTGATTCATACCATCTCATGATGTGTCCAAAGTAGAGCTTTCCTCCAGCACCACATTTTAATTGAACGTATTTTTCCCTCTGCCAGCTTTCTTCACTGTCTATTTTTCATATGCCATGAATGATCCCAATTTTGGTATTTCTGTGCATTGAAATCTTATCTACTTTCTTCATAACTGCCTTGCCAAGTTTTAATCTTCTGATTTCTTGATTGTAGTCTTCATTTTGATTGATGTCTGAACCAAGGTGTAGAAAATCTTGAACATTTTTTATAGCTTCATTGCCCACTTTAGCATATATCTTGTCTTAATGTTCAGCTGTAACTTCCTTAATTTTCCTAAGTTCCAAGTCTTTACTAGTTTCTGTTGGTAGTATAGTACTGGCTGAAAACCTTAATCAGTGGTTCCCAACCTTTGTTCCTCCAGGTGTTCAGGACTTCAACTCCCAGAAGCCTCGGAGAGCTTGGCCAGCTGATAGGAATTCTGGGATTTGAAGTCCAAAACTTATACGATTGATGTTTCTTCCTCCAGTTTTCATAGTCTCTCTGAGTCTGATCCCACTTTTTGCATGATGCATTGTGTACCATCTGCACCCGTACCTTGAGATTTCTGACTTAGCTGTGGTAGTCCATGCCTTAGTCACATCCTGTTTGGACTACTGCGGTGCTCTCTACATGCCTTTGAAGATAGTTCAGAAGCTACAGTTAGTTCAGAGATCGGCAGCCAGGTTACTAACTGGGGCTCCGTACAGGGAGAGAACCACTTCCATGTTGCGGCAGCTCCACTGGTTGCTGGTCTGCTTCCAGGCTAAATACAAAGTGCTGGTCAGTACCTATAAAGCCCTAAACAGTTCAAGTCCAGGCTATTTGTTCAACCACATCTCCCTATATAGATCATCCCATGCACTTCAGTCAGCGGAGGAGTCCCTTCTCCCAGTCCCACCCGCATCACAAGCACAGTTGGTGGGAATGAGAGAGGGGCCTTCTTCATGATCACTCCCCATCTCTGGAACTCCTTTTCTAAAGAAATAAAATTGGCCGTATCCTCCTCTCCTTCAAAAACTTCTGAAAATGCAGCAGTGCAGCTTAGCATATGGAGAGGAGGAGGACTAGCACACCCTAAATCAACTCCATAGGAGCTGGCTAATTTATTTGCACTTTATGGCCACTACGGTACATGTTAAAGCATAATTATGATAGGCACTTTTTTGTATATTAATTGTTTAATCTTTAATGTCAATTATGTTATTTGTGTAATTATGTCTTATTTGAGTATTTGTATTCTTTTTCAGTTTAATGTTAATTCTTCTCTTTTGTTATAAGTTTATCAACATTATTTTGTATTTTTGCATTATTTTGATGTGTTTTGATCTTATTTAAGGCATTGAATGTTTGCCTTTTTGTATGTAAACTGCCCTGAGTCCCCTCGGGGAGAGAGGGTGGTCTATAAATAAAGTTTTATTATTATATGTTGTTATTATATTATGCATATAAATTATACAGTGGTAAAAAGCATTATTGTTATACCTTTATCAATCAGAAACTATTCTCTTTTTCAATATTCTACTCTGGCAGGGACCTGAATCTAGATTTTGCATCAGGACAATCAAATGATGTGGCTCATCCAATTATTTTTGAGCATTCTGTAGCTTTTCGGGGTCTAGGTCTACCTTGTTAAAACTTTGCTGTAGTCTATAATGCCCCGGTTGATTTTCTTTTTACATTCTTTGATGCATCTCCTTAACTCAGGAATGTTTGAAATATGGTCATTAGTGCTTCTTCCTTTCCTTGTTAAAATCTGGAAACATAGCTTGCATTACTTCATAACTTGCTTGCTCCTTTTTGCTACCATTCCATTAAAAATAGAATGTTGGAAAACTTGACAATATTAATTCCAAACTCCCTTAAAATCTGGAAAACAGTTACTAAAAATTTTTACATATTGCACCAAATATGTAAGCTTGTGTTGCCATTCAGGATGGGTCACTTTCAGGTAAGGGAGTATAGCCTCTTTCAGTCTGCTTGTGCTCATATGGCTCTATTTCCTTGTAATTTTAATTTTGCATTTCCTTGTTATTTTCTGCCCCATTTAATAACAGGAGGTATTACCCTTTCTCATTTCACCTTATGTTAACCTGCAACATATTAGCTATTCTGCTTGTGTTTTAATTGGTGTGTCTTTGTTTCTTTTATAAAAGCAGTTTCTTTACCAAAGTTTGGCATTTATTTGTTTATTTATTTTTAATGGGAGCATTGAGCTTCCTTGGTTTGCGTTGAATTTAAATGTTTCTCATGAATTCTTACAAAAGCTGATTTGATATGTAAAGTTGTTGTCTTATCATCCAACATGTCTTAGTTACCATCCAAACATTTTGTCAGAATAGCAACAAAGTTCCGCAAAGAATAATATTTGGTCACATCTGAGCATCTCTTCATCCTCTCAGTTTCGGACAATATATTAAGTGATTTTTGGTGTGTCTTATAGACTTTAATTTTAATAAATTAGATTTTTTTCAATCCTCACCCCTTTTAGGACCAGACATTTCAAAGAAAGCATCGCATTTATACATGAGTGCCGTCTTAAGGGTGAGGGCTGTCTTGTTCACTGGTACGTATTCTAAATTTGAATCTCCTTGGGATTTTATGGAGGGAGGGAGAAATGGCAGGCATACAAGTGGACTGCCTAGAAAACATTGCAGGCTGATGTTGGAAAAGTTGTAAAAAGAGATTAATTCATGGCTACATAGTGTTGCCTGCAGTATCAGGAGCAGTGTGACTTTAACCAGTCATGGTTAGTAGCTTCCATGTCAGTGTACCTGTGAATGCATTCTGAACTCTTTTCTACCTGTTTATCAGTTTATTTATTGAATATCCTGCCTTTTCCATGGGATGGCAACCAAGGCAGTTTTAAATCAGCCCTCCACATTTGCTGAAGTGATAGGCACAGAAAGATGACTACACAGTTGGGCTGAAGAACCTCTGGAGTCATACAAGATGTTCTCTCTCAAGGAAGCTGTGTCCTGCAGTAGAACTGTAGTTGACTATAAAGTCACAATGGATTTTGACCATAAAGTTGCACAAGAGGGCCTGGAGATTGGGAGAGAGACCATAAGTAAAAGTAAAGGTTTCCTCCGACATTAAGTCTAGCCGTGTCTGACTCTGAGGGGTGGTGTTCATCTCCATTTCTAAGCCGAAGAGCCAGTGTTGTCTGTAGACACCTCCAAGGTCATGTGGCCAGCATGACTGCATGGAGTGCTGTTACCTTCCCACAGTTGCAGTACCTATTGATCTACTCACCTTTGCATGTTTTTGAACTGCTAGGTTGGTAGAAACCAGGGCTAACAGTGAGAATTCACCCCCACTCTCCAGATTCGAACCGCCGACCTTTCGGTCAGCAAGTTCAGCAGCTCAGTGGTTTAACCCACTGCACCATACGGGGAGCCCCATAGTTATCACAAATAATCAAATTCGCAAATATGAGGGACCAACTGTAATCTGAACTTTAAAAGTGCTTCCCAACTTTATAAGCTGTGAATTGAAAATGGCTTCTTTAAAGTTCAAGGAAAACTCAGAATGGTTTCACCGTCCCACTGAGATAGGAAGTCATGTATCATTGCGGCTTCTTCGTGGAGCAAAGGACTGGGAGGATTCGGTTGCATCCATGTCCTACTAGTGGGGTTCCCATAGATAACTGATGACTATGCTGACTGGATGATTCTGGGAATTGTAGTCAAAAAGTATATTTTTCCAAGCTCTAATTTGTAGATATACATTGGAATCTATGTGTGGGCTTCTCTGCTACTTTGTGCTTTTTTGTCAATGCTATTTTTGCTATATAAATGTTGAAAACAAGCAAAAGAAGAACTGGATCTTTGAGGTTCATTTCAACACCCCTGAAAAATAAGTTGTCATCATCACCATACTTTATTTATATAGTGCCATCCATGTACATGGGGCTTCAAAAATAAAATAGAACGCAGCCATTTCTGCCAAAAGTGTACAGTCTAAAAATACACGCACACACATATGGAAAGGAAAGGGCAACACATATGAAATATTACTGCAGTGCAACTGTAAAACTGTAAGATCCAGATAGAAATGTGCAAGTGTATGCAACAAAAACACAAAGCAGACAAACAAATACATATAACCAAAATACTAGATTATAAAACTATATTAAACTAAAATTCCAAAACACTTTAGATCAAGATTTTATTATGAGGAGAGCTTTCCTAGAGAGCTGTTTTCAAAAGACATGTGGGAGAGAAAGGGAATAATAGCAAGGGAGTAAAATGGTTTGAATGTATCTTACCTGTCATTTGGATGATGATGGTTATTATTTAGATATATAAACCTCACTTGCAAGTTTCCAGAAGACTCCTCAACCTCTGAAGATGCCTGCCATAGATGTGAGCGAAACGTCAGGAGAGAATGCTTCTGGAACACGGCCATACAGCCCAGAAAACTCATAGGAACCTTAGTGGATAATGTTTTAACTTTTCATTTTAATATCTACATCCACAGATTTTAATTAAATGTCTCATATATCCTGGACTTTCTGCTTTTAATGTCTTGAACTTCTGATTTTAATGTTTTAAACTCCTAGTCTGTGGACATCATAATAAAATTTATTCATTCATAATATCACACCCTGATTCTTCTACTTGCACTTGACCAATGCTATCTAATGCCACTCAATTCTCTGAGGATCAAATATATTTTATTTTAAATATCTACCTGGTTGTTTGAGCAGGCGTTCGAATAGTTAGTGCAATGAATGTAATGAACATAGGAATGGAACAATGGATGACGGATCTGGATCATGTTTTTAGTGATGAGATGCTAGTGAATGGCTATTGGTGTTAACTGTATATTGTTGTTGTTGTTAATTGTATACTTTTCTATAATATGTTATGTTGTTAACTGTCTTTTATACTGTGTTATGGTAGCATTGAATTCTTGCTGTTCTTGTTGTTAACCGCTAAGGGCTGAGAACAGCGGTATACAAATAAAGGAAATAAATAAATAATAAATAACAAGATTTTCCCTCATAAAAGTAAACAAACATGATGATCAGGATCAGACTGTTGAAGAAGGGCTGTAGCCAGGTCCGTAGCCAGGATTTCGATTGGGGGGGGGCTCAGTTTGATTCGGGGGGGGGGGGGGGGGGGGGGGCTGAGTCTGTGTGAAAGAAGGTCTACCCTAGCAAACCTTTTTATCGTTACCCCAATACCCCCATGCATATGGGATATATTGAGTATGGTGATCAGATCATGATATGAATAAAAATAACAGTTTAAATAATGCACCAGTAAGGCCTTCTTGTGGACCATCATGAGAATTTGGGGGGGGGGGGGGCTACATGCCTGGCTGTAGCTATTCCTTACCAAACCTGATTAAAGTTGTTTTTCTTTTGGCCAAAGAGTGAAAAATAAAATATCTCTTTGAGTAAAAAGGATCCATCTGGGCGGATTAACTTCTGGGCGGATTCTTGGAAAGTCAACTTGACAATTGTAGTGCACACGCGTGGACCTCATGAAATAGTTAACGACGACTAAGTTACAAGATATTAGCCCAACAGATGTCATTTGTATAAGTAAAAAAGATATAAAGAGAGAAATAGGGCTTGTTTCACAGTAATTTCCCTCTCCATCTAGATCCCATCTCCCCCCTTTTTAAAGATGGAACTCTGCAAAACTACAGCTTCCAGACTTTTTCGAGGATCTCCCTCTTTTAGACTGGAATATAGCTGAAACATGCTGTATCATTTTCTCATAATATTTTCTTTAATGTGAAATATCAGAGACGGGCGGAGGAAGGGGGGATTGGTGCACCTCTGTGGCTAACTGTTCACTTGTTTCAGGAAGTGTGCCATTCTTTGAAAGCTGTGCTTTTGTGCATGTTATTATGTTCATTTTAGTTTATTAAAAATGATGCTTCATTTCTGGAAAATAGTGAAACTTGTGGTAGCTTTTAAGATGCTGTGCTGTTTTGTTGCTTGTTTTTATGTCCTGTCTTCCACAGGATTTTTGAATGGTTTTAATCCTGTAATTATTTAATTCTTCTTTAAAATAAAGTTCACATATATTATTGATGTTTAGGCATTTTTAATCTGGTTCTGCTTTTAATGTTCTGTAAACTGCCTTGAGTCACAATACTGTGAGGGTGGGGGTGGGATATTAATGAGTAAAACAATAAGTAACCTGTGTTGATCTATCTGTTTCTTTGGATTTTGTTGGGGATGCAGCCTAGCTGGAGTTTCCAGGAGTGCAACCTTGGTTGTGGCCTATATAATGACGATCACTGAGTTGGGCTGGGAGGATGCACTTTCTGTGGTGCGAGCATCAAGGTCGTGTGCCAATCCAAATGCGGGTTTCCAGCGCCAGCTAGAAGAGTTTGAGAAAAATGATGTTGCTGATGTAAGTATTGTGGCGCTTGAAGTTTCCACCTGAACTCTTTAACCAATGTTGGGAAATGTCTTTCAGCCCAACGGTTGAATTGAAACAATTCCCGTCCAGTCAGCCTCATGGCAATACTAGGCAAGATTCTGGAAAAGATGATTAAGGAAGTGGTCTGCAAACTTAGAAAGGAATGTGGTTATTGCTAATAGTTAACACGGATTTATCAAAAACAAGTCATGCCAGACTAATCTGATCCCTTTTTTTGATAGGGTTACAAGCTGGGTAGATGCGGGAATGCCGTGGATGTAGTGTACCTGGATTTCAGTAAGGCCTTCAACAAGGTCCCCCATGGCCTTCTGGCAAACAAACTAGTCTAATGTGAGCTAGGCAAAACTATGGTTAGGTGGACCAGTAATTGGTTAAGTGATTGAATCCAGAGGGTGCTCACCAATGCTTCCTCTTCATCCTGGAAAGAAGGGACAAGTGGAGTGCCATAAGCAAGGTTCCATCCTGGGCCTGGTCCTGTTCAACATCTTTATTTATGACTTAGATGAAGAGTTAGAAGGCATGATCATCAAATTTGCAGATAACACCAAATTGGGAGGGATAGCTAATACTCCAGAAGTCAAGAGCAGAATTCAAAATGATCTTTACAGATAAGAGAGATGATTGGTTAAAACTAGCAAGACGAAGTTCAATAGGGACAAGTGCAAGATACTCCACTTAGGCAAAAAAAAAATGAAATGCAAAGATGCAGAATGGGGGACAATGCCTGGTTCGACAGCAGTACGTGTGAAAAAGATCTTGGCGTTCTCATGGCCAGCAGGTTAAACTTGAGGCAACAATGTTATATGGCAACCAATGGGATTTTGGCCTGCATCAATAGGTGTATAGTATCTAGATCCAGGGAAGTCATGCTACCCCTCTATTCTTCCTTGGTTAGACCACACCTGGAATATTGTGTCCAATTCTGGGCACCATAATTGAAGAGAGATATTGACAAGCTGGAATGTGTCCAGAGGAGGGCGACAAAAATGATCAAGGGTCTGGAGAGCAAGCCCTATGAGGAGCGGTTTAAAGAGCTGGGCATGTTTAGCTTGAAGAAGAGAAGGCTGAGAGGAGACATGATAGCCATGTATAAATATGTGAGAGGAAGTCATAGGGAGGAGGGCGCAAGCTTGTTTTCTGCTGTCCTGGAGACTAGGACGTGGAGCTATGGCTTCAAACTACAAGAAAGGAGATTCTACCTGAACATTAGGAAGAACTTTCTGACTGTGAGAACTGTTCAGCAGTGGAACTCTCTGCCCCAGAGTGTGGCGGAGGCTTCTTCTTTGGAGCTTTTAAACAGAGGTTGGGTGGCCATCTGCTTTGAATGCAATTTTCCTGCTTCTTTGCAGGGTTGGACTGGATGGCCCATGAGGTCTCTTCCAACTCTATGATTCTATGATTTGAGCCAACTGGAGCCAACAATGTCACGTGGTGCCAATGGTATTTTGGCCTGCATCAATAGTAATATAGTGTCTAGATCCAGGGAAGTCATGCTACCCCTCTATTCTGCCTTGGTCAGACCACATCTGGAATACTGTGTTCCTTTCTGGACACCACAATTTAAGGGAGATGTTGACAAGCTGGAATGTGTGTCCAGAGGAGGGCAACTAAAATGACCAAGGGTCTGGAGAACAAGCCCTATGAGGAGCGACTTAAAGAGCTGGGCATGTTTAGTCTGAAGAAGAGAGGCTGAGAGGAGACATGATGGCCATGTATCAATATGTGAGGGGAAGTCATAGGGAGGAGGGAGCAAGCTCAGGGAGAAGTGCTGGTCCAGGGACCACTACTTTGACTAACCCTCCTATATATTTCATCTTGAAGAGAAGACATTTGCTGGTGTGTCTGTCCCAAGCAGCAGACTGTCTTAGGCTAGGCCTGGGATGATCTAAATTTCCACCAGTTAACAAAGTAATTCAACTTTTGAAAAGCTGTAGTGTCTTCTTTATGGATTTGCATAGCCTTTAAGTGGGATGTTGTGGCGGTTTTTCCCCAGTGTCAAACAGGTTCCCACCAACATTTTATGCAAACTATATTATACCAAGATAAATAGAACTTGGGTGGCTATTCTTTCATTTAAAAAATTCACACATTCAGATGGCCTAGATTAAAGTCACCTACAGTAATTTTTTTTCTTTTTATGATCTAATTTTGAATGCAAATTTTCAGTATGTTTTATTTCAGCTCTAAGAGGAAACAAATTCATACCTATACTTTGATTTTTTTTGCCAGATTTGTCATCTGACTTTATTGTGCCCATTAAAAAAAAACTTGTGGTAGGGATGACTTCAATGGGATCACATGCTTGTGCATGAAAAGTATCTATTTTGGAGTCATGTACAGCCTTCAGTGTTTTGTTATTGAAGATTAAGAAGTATATATGTGTTTGTGTGGGTTTTCTGTCTGCTTTCCCGCTTTTTATCTCCCCCTAATTCCTAAGGTTTTGGGAGAAACTGGAGACTAGGGGTGATGTGTTTTGTAGCAGAAAAAATGACCTTCTCTCCTTCTCTGTAAATGGCTGTCCACTTCCTTCGTTGTCTGCTAGGGTTTGCTTCCAGGATTTCAATGGATACCAGAACCCATGTATACTCAAGTCCTATTATATACCGTGCAGTGGTACAGTGGTGTCCCATAAATAAAATGGCAAAATCAAGGTTTGCTTTTAGGATTACAAGAGAGAGAGAGAGAGAGAGAGAGTTTAAAGCCATTGATGACTGAATTCATGGATGTGGAATCTGTGGGAAAAGAGGACCAGCTGTACTGATGGATATAATAGAAAGCACCCAAACTGGCTTCACATTATGTTCTTTGGAAGAATAAGCAATTTTAGCTTGTAGCAAATTTTGCTATGATGCCCTTAATTCACAAAGTTTGTGCCATAATGTTTTTGGAAGATTTTAGTGAGCTCTGGTATTTTAGTGAGCTCTATGTTCTTAACTCCTTAGCGCAGTGGTTCCCAACTTGTGGTCCATGGACCACCAGTGGTCCACAAGAATAAAAATATGGTCCACAGCCTCACCATTACTACACCATTGCAATGAGAGTGACTGGTTAGGTCTCACATAACCCTCTTATAGTGAGGAGGTTTATTGCATATGGTTTTCTGTGGGCGAGCAGATGGCAGTTACTGGATGGCATATGTTCTGTATCAGAAACTAGAGTTGATGTGGTCTACCCAACCCGAAAAAACCTACTACAACCCAGTAATTACTGTACTTACGAATTTAGCACCAAAACATTGCAATGTATTGCACAGCTGTGGATTCAGTCGGGAGGCAGAATATGTTGGATAATACAGAACGTTGGATCAGCGAAGGTTGGATAAGTGAGACTCTACTGCAGGGGTCCTCAAACTAAGGCCCAAGGGCCGAATACGGCCCTCCAAGGTCATTTACCTGGCCCTCGCTCAGGGTCAACCTAAGTCTGAAATGACTTGAAAGCACACAACAACAACAACAACAACAACAACAACAACAATCCTATCTCATCAGCCAAAAGCAGGCCCACACTTCGCATTGAAATACTAATAAGTTTATATTTGTTAAAATTGTTCTTCATTTTAATTATTGTATTCTTTGCACTACAAATAAGATATGTGCAGTGTGCATAGAATTCATTTATGTTTGTGTTTTTTTTTCAAATTATAATCCGGCCCTCCAACAGTTTGAGGGACTGTGAACTGGACCTCTGTTTAAAAAGTTTGAGGACCCCTGCTCTACTATATAATACTCTGTCTTGTGAACATGGAGAGAGAGCTTTTCAGATACTTGCAACATAATAGACTATGCATTGCAGCTCCCAAATCTACAGATGAATTGGATTTAACTCATTATTTCTATTGCTTTGTAACTTGTTGGGTAAAATTATTCCTTGTCCTAATTGTGTTTGAACAAAGTTTCTATTATCTTTTATTTTTTATCCTTCCAGTTCAGAAAGTGGCTCACAGCAGAGTATGGAGAAAGCTCTTTGCAGGATAAAGAAGAAGCCCAAAGTCTTCTGGAGAAGTACAAAGCACACGCAGCATCAGCAGCTGCTCAGTCGAATGCTTTGGGGAGGCAGTGGAATGGTAACTTTGCTCCAGTGACTTCTTTGTCCATGACTACTCCCGACTAGGAGCAGTCAGTGCAGTCTTCCATCAACAAAAGCCAGAAAATATAATATTCCTGTGGATGTGTTTGATGTCTTGGTAAACCTTGGTTTATCTTGATGGATAGAACCTAGGTGAACTTGCACACTTTTTCTCTCTAGTTCTTGTTGTGAGACTGGAAGTTTTGAGTTAACCACAGATTATTGTTGCATTCAAACCCTAAAGTGTGATTATTCTTAACTGTAGCTTGTTTGACATAGGACCAACTTCATAATCCATGTTGTAGAATCATAGAATCATAGAGTTGGAAGAGACCTCATGAGCCATCCAGTCCAGCCCCCTCCCAAGAAGCAGGAAAATCGCATTCAAAGCACCCCCAACAGATGGCCATGCAGCTTCTGCTTAAAAGCCTCCAAAGAAGGAGCCGCCGTCACCACAGTCCGGGGCAGAGAGTTCCACTGCTGAACAGTTCTCACAGTTGGGAAGTTCTTCCTAATATTCAGGTGCAATCTCCTTTCCTGTAGTTTGAAGCCATTGTTCCGTGTCCTAATCTCCAGGTCAGCAGAAAACAAGTTTGCTCCCTCCTCCCTATGATTTCCCTTCACATATTTATATATGGCCATCATGTCTCCTCTCAGCCTTTTCTTCTTCAGGTTAAACATGCCCAGCTCTTTAAGCCGCTCCTCATAGGGCTTGTTCTCCAGACCCTTGATCATTTTAGTCACTCTCCTCTGAACACGTTCCAGCTTGTCAACATCTCCCTTCAATTGTGGTGTCCAGAATTGGGCACAGTGTGATTCCAGGTGTGGTCTGACCAAGACAGAATAGAGGAGTAGCACGACTTCCCTGGATCTAGACACTAGACTCCTATTGATGCAGGCCAAAATCCCATTGGCTTTTTTAGCTGCAGCATCACATTGTTGGCTCATGTTTGTTGTCCACAAGGACTCCAAGATCTTTTTCACACGTGCTGCTGTCAAGCCAGGCATTGTCCCCTATTTTGTATCTTTGCATTTCATTTTTTTCTCCCTAAGTGGAGTATCTTGCATTGGTCCCTGTTGAACCTCACTTTGTTAGTTTTGGCCCATCTCTCTTAATATGTTAAGATGGTTGTGAATTCTCCTCCTTTCCTATGATTTACTCATTTCAAACAAAACCACAGTTAACATTAACCACAGCCAATTTAAAAGATACAAGAAACTGTAGTTAATCACAGAAGAACAAGTTTCCTAACACCAGGCTACAAAGTTCACTGCCATAAATAAGCCATAGTTTATTGTACAATCTACATACAACCAGCAGGGCATGTTATTTTGATGGTCCTCCTGCACGTAAGCAAAAAAGTCTTGTCTTCTCTATATTAGCTCCAGGATGAGATGTCTTGATTCTCTTAAGTAAGCATATCTCTGAGTATATGGGGAGCAGGGTTCCAGAGGTTGTCATTTGGTATCACATTAGGGACTAGCACTGGCTATGCTATGTAGATGCCAAGACCCCTCTTTCTCTTCCAGTGGCCATGAAAACAGCAAGGCGTGTTCTGACTGCTGAGATTTCACATTAATTTCTACACATGTCTGTTCTTCAGATTCTTCACATAGCCAGAATTTGGCATTGTTGCACTTTTCACAGTTTAAGATTACTATTAATATTTTTTGTGTCCTAAAGTAAAGAACCGTGAACTTCAGAATGAACCTTATCCTCAGCTGGTTTAACTCTGGCTAAAGAGGCAAGGTTTTGAGTGATGTAGACATCAACTTGTCTGATGTATTGCCGAAGGCTTTCATGGCCATAATCACTGGGTTGTTGTAGGTTTTTTGAGCTGCATGGCCGTGTTCTAGAAGCATTCTCTCCTGACATTTCACCTGCATCTATGGCAGGCTTCCTCAGGGGTTGTGAGGTCTGTTGGAAACCAGGAAAACTGGGGTTATATATCTATGGAAAGTCTAGGGTGGGTGAAAAAACTCTTGTCTGTTGGAGCTAGGTGTCAATGTTTCAATTGGCCACCTTGATTAACATTTGATGGCCTGACAGTTTTTAGGTGTGGCTTGTTACTGCCTGAGGGAATTCTTTGTTCAGAGGTAATTACCTGTTCCTGATTGTTTCTTCTCTGGAATTACTCTGTGTTTGAGTTTTGTTCTTTATTTAATGTTATAATTTTAGAGTTTTTTTAATACTGGTAGCCAGATTTTGTTCATTTTCATGGTTTCTTCCTTTCTGTTGAAATTGTCCACATGCTTGTGGAATTCAATGGCTTCTCAGTGTAGCCAGGCATAGTAGTTGTTAGAGTGGTCCAGCATTTCTGTTTTCTCAAATAATATGCTGTGTCCAGGTTGGTTCATCAGGTGCTTTGCTATGGCGGACTTTCTTAGTGGATCTGTAGATGGTTTGTATGTTGTGATTCTTCATCAGCTTCTAGTCAAGGTGGCCAATTGAAACATTCACACCTAGTTCCAACAAACAACAATTTTTTTCTCCCACCCTGGACTTTCCATAGATATATAAACCCAAATTTCCTAGTTTCTAACAGACCTCACAACCTCTGAGGATGCCTGCCATAGATGCAGGTGAAACGTCAGGAGATAATGTTTCTATAACATGGCCATACAACCTGAAAAACATACAACAATCCAGCACTTGTCTCTTTAGAAACAGAGAATAGTAATTACCAAATCAGGAAGTAGAGAACTAGTTGTCTGTATGGTTTTCTCTCCTTTGTGTTTCCTTTGCACTTTGTTTTAAAATTCCCTTTGACTGTATGGCTACTGAAATTGTCTATTTTATTCAAGAGTACAGTATAAGTATAGCCAGCATTTATTGTGCTAGCTCGCATCTCAGAGGATTTGTTCACCTAGAGTATGTTCATAGGTGAAGAATGGACAGAACTGAATGTATATTGCTGATGTATATATATAAAGACTAAAAACAGATTTATAATGACAGATTAGTTATAATAATGTTATATTCCTGCTGAAGGAAAGATTGCTTATATGTAAGTCATCTTCATCAAGTTTCACCAATGATTGCCTTCCCTGATGGAGTCTATTCAATAAAAGATTCAGGTCTTTTTTATGAATAAAACATTCCAATGTTATGACATTGCATTGTCTGGTTAAAGTACTTGTGGTTGACACCAGTTCTTGTTTCTGATGCTGTCAAATGAGCAACTTGATAGAATTATCGGAGTCCACTACAGTGAATGTCTCAGGTTGTTGGGAAAACAAGGTCATCAGAATCATTATGGCAGGTGAAAATTTTATTTTATTTATTTCCAACATTTCTTCCCCATCCTTCTCAACCCCCGAAGGGGGACTCAGGGCGGCTTACAATGACAGCAATTCGATGCCGACAACATACAAATATATTACATACAACATTATACAAAAGATAAAACATTAGATTAAAATACATTAAAAGGTTTATTATTCATCATATAGCTGAATCCAAGTCTGATTTAGCAACCGATGACCCAGACCAAAGCCCGTCATAGTCAAAATTCCAACATTATGATTGCTGCCAAACATACTGTCCAAAAGCCTGGTCTCACAACCATGTTTTGAGCTTCTTTCTGAAAGAGGAGAGAGATGGAGCTGACCTAATCTCTCTAGAAGAGCATTCAACAGGCGGGGGCCACCACCAAGAAGGTCCTGTTCCTCGTCCCCACCAAACGCACTTGTGAAGAGGGCAGGGCCGAGAGCAGGGCCTCCCTGGACGATCTTAAATTCTGTGGTGGAACGTAGAAGGAGATACGTTCGGACAGGTATTGCAAATATAGGCCTTCTAATGTTCTTAAGACAGTCTAGCCTTGTTGATTTGAAGGGGCTTTCCTCACCTCCCAGATCAAAGTGAGGTACAGTATGAAAAAGAAAATACATTATGACCCCTGTATCCACAGGACGAGTACACATGGTTTTATTACCTTGGATCTGACAAAATACATCCTCTCTGGGCATTTTCTAGTTCTTTTATGTGGTTTTGTGTTATGCTTCCACCAGATGTTGACTACAATGACACTAGGACAGTGGTTCTCACTCTGTGAGCCCCCAGATGTTTTGGCCTTCAACACCCAGAAATCCTAAGAGCTGTTAAACTGCCTGGGATTTCTGGGAGTTGTAGGCCAAAACTCCTGGGGACCTACAGGTTGAGAACTACTTCTCTAGGAGGACCTAATGATGCCTAGAAAGGTGGCCTCTAGGTATATCCTTGGTCCTCCAGCATAATTATGGTATGCTTCCACCAGAAGGTATTTATTCAATAAGATTCATTATTACACACACATTCACACAGAGTCCTGGAACCTATTCCACACAAATACTGGGGTTCATACTGTATTTCACTTTGATCTGGGAGGTGAGGAAAGCCCCTTGAGATCAACAAAACTAGACTTGTCTTAAGGCCTGTATTTGCAATACCTGTTGCTCGTCCCAGCCAGCATGTCCAATGGTAGAAGATAATGGGGACTGCATTCAAAACAGTAATTATTTTATGTGATATTTTTTCATGGTGAACTCCTCCAAGTGTGAGCACTTAAACAGGCAAATAGCAGCATTCATACAAGTGAAGTAACAGCAGGATTAGGGCAATCCTAAAACTTGAAAAAAGAACATCTTTGAGTAGGCAGACTCATTGAGAGAAGAAGCTTCCAAACTTCTCAGCAAAGAACAACTATTTTCAGGATTGTGGGCAGGGGAGATGAAAATAGAATATTCTGAAAATGGTCATGGCTGGTTACTTTCCTTGGCTATACTGGTCAGGGCTGCATGGAGTTTCAGTTCAGCCACATGGTTCTCACCCGTAATTTAGATGTTAGAATTGATTTACACAAAACAGCTCAGGAAAGTGTAATTGTTCTGCACATATTACATCTGGTGAAAATGGATAAGGCTAAGAAAAGAGCAGTGCTTTTACTTAAGGCTACTAATGAAATGTTTGGCCCAAGCCATGGTTTGAACTTTATGTTGGTGACACCATTTTTAGAACTAGCCTTAAAGCAATTTCTACTCTGGTTTCCGAATGGTTAATTTGAGAGCTGGAATACATAAGATAAAAGTAAAGGTTTTCCCCGACAATAAGTCTAGTCGTGTCTGACTAGGGGTTGGTGCTCATCTCCATTTCTAAGCTGAAAAGCCGGTGTTGTCCATAGACATCTCCAAGGTCATGTGGCAGGCATGACTTCAGGGAGCGCTGTTACCTTGCCACTGGAGCTGTACCTATTGATCTCACATTTGCATGTTTTCGAACTGCTAGGTTGGCAGAAGCTGGGGCTAACAGTGGGAGCTCACCCACTCCCCGCATTTGAATCACTGACCTTTTGGTCAGCAAGTTCAGCAGCTCAGTGGTGCAACCGGGAACTCCCAATATGCTGGAATGGATATTAGAACACAAAAATCTCATCTCAACCAATTTTTCCTTTGTGGATCATTAGGCACAAAGGGGTAATATATGGGCATAAATGTTGATAGGATATCTTATTTACAAGCTGCATTGTTAGCTAGATGGCACTTCAATACTGAGCTAAAATAGCCTTCCTTCAGATCCTTGGTTGCACTGGGTTTGGGAAATGGTAATTCTATTCCAACACATCTCGAGGAAGGCTGGGCAATATAAACCATAAAGCTTGTAAACCATAAAGCTAGTATTTCTTACACAAACCTTTGGTTTCTTATTGTATACAGATATCTTTATTTCCTTCATTTTCAGGCTTCACAGGTTTTGTAAAACATGTACCAGCTTAGAACCCAGGCTGTAATTAATGTAACACTTGTTTCGGTGGATTTCAACCTATTTGATGCATAGGTATATCTAGATCCAATCCATTTCCTGGCCCACTGAGATCACAACTGGGATACATTTGGAGACAATGTAGCTATATATAAATACAGTACTCTGACTTGGAAATGTTGGCCTTCATTCTTCATAAGTAGGGGGAAAGGCAGGTGTGTATATGTCCAAAAGGTTAGTCCATAAGTTCACATATCCATTCAAAATGAAGGTTGATGACCCTGTGTGAGAAACCAACCATGTCATAACACGAAGTGGAAAAAACCAACTTAATGATTCAAACATGAGTAAAATCATTGAGTCATGCCAGATATGTAGATGACCGTGGTGTCATCATTGGTAGGAAACATGAGGGGGAAAGAAAGATTACAGGCATTGGCCACTTAAGGCCTACACTCAAAAAATCCATTTTTTTTCCTTCTCAAGTTTTCCCAGCAACAGCTTTCAGCTTCTGACAAAGTTCAGAGAAAGTCTGCTGTTGAGGCTTAAATAGACTATGGGATATCTGAACTCCATAAAATGAAGAAAGATCGTGTCTGTCCAGATACAAGGTAACTGGAATGATGTCCTCTATTTCCTACTAGGAATGTGTTGCCTTTAATACATTATCCTTAGGTCTACAGCACTGTAGATGTATATTTTGGGAAGTTGGGAATTGCTCCACTGAGTTCAAAGGGGCTGAATTTTATATTGACAGGGACCAAGGGAGCTTAAAGTGATTCATTAGTTATTGTAGACTGAAGCATATGGTTTTGTAAAAAGGCAACATGATAACCCATCCTCCCCAAGCACCATGCCATACACTTGGGTTGCTATGGATGATCATCGCCTCACTCAAGTGGAGGGTTGGGGAACGTTGAGCTCAGATAGTACCTACTGTCTCTGGTTCTACACTTCCCTTATGCTGCACAAAGGTTTTTTACTACCTCTTTCTATCGTTAGTTAGGTCAATGTTGTTGTACAGTATTGTGTTTCCAGCTGTGTTTCTCCTCTTGCAAACCTTCAGCAATTGTTTAGAAGATGAGTGAAAATAATTTTTCTGCCTTGTTTCATGTCATTATGATTTATGAAGGATGTTTAGGCCAGCTTTCAAAATTGTTCTGCTTATACTGTTGAGTTTGTATCTGCTCTGTTAGGAGCCCCTGGTGGCACAGTGGGTTAAACCACTGAACTGCTGAACTTGCTGACCGAAAGGTTTGAATCCAGGGAGAATGCGGATGAGCTCCCTCTGTCAGCTCCAGCTCTCCATGCGAGGACACGAGAGAAGCCTCCCACAAGGATGGTAAAACATCAGAAAACATCTGGGCATCCCCTGGGCAACGTCCTTGCAGATGGCCAATTCTCTCACACCAGTTCTCTTACAGTTTCCCAAGTTGCTCCTGACACAAAAAGAAATCTGCTCTGTTTGTCACTTTATGGTTATGTTATTGGATGATAATGATTCAAGTTTTTCTACAGTCTGTTATGATGGCATGGGTCTTTTGAAAGGTTCCTTCTGAACCAAGGTTATATAGAAATTTAAAAACAAAATAATTCAATGGATCTCAGTTGTTTTGAAATCAGTAATATTTTTGTGTTGGCTTTCATGGCCTGAATCACTGAGTTGCTGTGAGTTTTCCGGGCTGTATGGCCACGTTCCAGATAGCCAGTAATGATTTTATTTCAGATTATGAGAAAGATTGGATTTTAATTTGATCAATTTCAGGAAAAAAAATGGTGCACATTGACAGAAACAGTATGATCCAGTAGTTAGAATAGCACCCCCACCCCAATCTGGAAGTCTCTGAATGTTTTGGAAGTTCCTAGAATTTATAGAGCCTGGAACAGCTACTCCTTTTAGCTACAATTCTCAGATTCCTCCAGTCAACACAATATGTTGTGAGGAATCTGAAAGGCGTAATTAAAAAAAAACCTGTATAAATTAATAAATGCTATTAATAACATCACAGTTCTTATTACCAAGCACTCTATAGCCTTCCATCAAAGAAACATTACACCTTCTGTTTCAATTTTCTTTCAGAATCAATTGATTCAAATTTCAATTGGCTTTGGATGGTGGGCTGAAGGTGGTGGGATTGTATTTCCATATCTGCTAAGAAACATTTGTGTCTTTGTTATATCCACAATTACACAGCATAGCTTAGTTCAAGCTTACTATAAAACTGGTGTACAAACCATAGAATTAGGATTCTACATGGTTCACTAGTTTCCTTTTTTCCAGTGGAAGCTTATGACAGCCCCCCAGTGGTGATCTTATTTCTGCATGTACAAGAGAAGAGAGTGAATATACATATACAATATCCTATAAAGGAAGATGC